ATTGTATCGAAACTTCGGCAACATATGCTGCAGATAAAAATAAGTAAAAAAGTTGGTAAAATCGGAATAAATAAAACTTCTACACCCTGTATCTTCGAAACGGGATATACATTTATACGAACTTGTTTACCTATTTTTATGGGTAGAATATGCTGCTGAAATTTGTCAAATACAATTCGGACCACCCTGTATATTATATTAATATTTTTTTTTATTAGTAATATATATTTTTTATATTTATAACAACTTTTTGGCATTTAAAAGAGAAACAAGATTTTTGTGTTGTAAAAAAAACGGCGTCTAGTTGGCTTGGAAATAGCCGGTCTTCATTTCAAAGCCATCTCTGACGCCATTTTTTATCGACCATATTGTGTTTTTAGTTGTCGTAATAATGTATTATTTGTTTTTAATGGACTGTAAAAGATCGTGTTAAATTATTTTCTATTTGTCTAGGAATTTCTTTCGAAATTATTGATGATCATTATTTTTGATGTACGTATAAAAATAAACAATTATTACATAATATGATGGAAAATTCTTACATATTATTTTTGATACATCTTTTTAATATCGGTGTCAAGTGTTGGCGACTTTTTGTCGCTAAACCTTCAACTTTTTTTTGCTTACAGACTTCTAAGCTTTAATGCTAGTTTGCGTTGCATCCTGCATTTTAATCGACTAAGCAACAACCATATTTAAATATTTAATAACATTGTTTTTTCTCGTTTGAACATTAATAAAGTTAGAAATTGCCGACCTACGTCGACTATAAATGTTGCCAAATTCGTATCTGCTATTTTTAAACGAAAATACTACACACACACACACACTTTTGCTCTTTTCATAATGGGTTTCACTTATTTTAACAACACAAAAATTAAATACCATATGAAAAAAAACGGCGTCAGCGATGGCTATGAAATGAAGATTTCTGTCATTTTATATGTAAATTATATGAGGGGAATCTCATCGATGTTCATTTCCACGTCAACTGGACGCTGTTTTTTTGGATCATACGATATATTACATAAACCATTTATTTGCCATTTTCGTGATTTTTCAGTGTTGTTATTTAAATTTCTAAAAGGCCAAAATAATAATAAGTATAATAAGTTCTTTCTTTGTTTTTCCATATATTTTCAGCAAGGTTTCAGAATTGTATTTTTTCTCTCTGAACAATCGATTCAGAAAAACAAACTAGAATTTTGTCCGCATTTTATAGCGTTATAACACTTTATGAACCGTCGAGTCTTGTTGACAACTCTTCACTACAGCCTCTTATTTTCTATTGTTCTTCTGTTCTGTTATTTTCATCTTTAGTATATGGCTTGCTGGAAAAATAAAAAACAGACTTGGTTTCTTTTTGCTTTGTTCTGCATGTATCCAGCTTCGTTGTAAAACAACACGTTTTACTTCCTTCTGTATTTTAATTTTTTTATCAGATAACCCTCTTTTTTCCTTTCTTGTTGAATGATTTTAATTTGATATTTCTAATTGTAAAGTCTTATACTACTTTTGTATTCTAAATGTTTAATCTTTAAATTAATGTCATATAAATGTCTGCTATTTTGGATTTCTTGAATAATGGACATTATTATAAAATTAATTGTATATTAATTAATTTACAGGAATACTAATATATTATTTAAAAACCTTAAAAATCACAAGTCATTTGGTTTAAATAAAAGACGCCATTGAAAAATGTAATTAATATTTATTTCATTTTTTTTTTGAGAAATGGGTTTCTATCTTTCTGATATACTATACTACTTCTATATATGCGAATTTTTTGTGGATTTTTTTTAAGTTTTAGTTAAAAAATATAATGGGTCTTCTGAATAAAAGTTAAGCAAATGCTTTTACTTAAATTTCTTGAAATAGACTTATACAATTTGTAAACAAGCAACAAAGATAGTTCTATAGAAAAAGCAATTGGTTTTCTTTATTCATCACGCCCAATATCTTCATAATATGCCAACATAGGTAGTAGATTAAATTTACAAGAAAGAAGTCACAGAAAATATCCAGTGGTTTTCTAAATTTAAGGAAAAAATTATTTTTTTTAAATTTTCAAACTAAAATATGTCGGTTATTTTGGACTTATTTGAAAAACTGCAAAGAGAAAATATGTTTCTTTTATCGAGATAAACCTACCAAACCCTACCAGCCCGGAAAATATTGGCACTTATTAAAGAATCACCCTGTATTTATTTTGTGATACTTCCATATTTTATTAAATTTAAATAAAAAACGAGCAAATACCTACATCTCTGGAAAAAGTGCACCGGTTTATTAAAAACAATCATAACTTAATGATAAATAAATTCTATTTAATATGAATGAAATATTAACCAAAAAACATCTTTTTTGGTTATGGGATTTTTTTCCAGTATACCTGTATTAAAAAAAATGAAGGAAAAAAAAACAGGAAAAGAACTGTAATAGGTTAGGTTATTCTTCAATTTACGTTGATGACATTTCGTTTTTTTTTATTTTTTGTCCTACATTTAGAAATCCATTTCCGATATTTCCAATCAAATGGGTTTTCTGATTTTCTTTTTCTATTCATGCAGCTTATACACGACTAGAAAAAGCGGCGGTTCACGAATAAATTTTCATTTAAAAAAACAATTTAAATAGAATAATACATTATGTTATTGCTCGTGGCGACCTTTGTATTATATTTGGATATACAAGGAATTTAAATTTTCAATTGATTCTCCTTAAATAATTCTTTAGTCGCCTTAAAACCGAAACCATTACACATTTCGTCGTGCGTACACGCAAGATGTCTAGATAAAATAAATCTTTACCTTGGAAATAATTCTTTTGGCTGATTTATTTGAATAAAGTATTTATCATTTATGTTAAATAAACGTCAAATGTTATTTCCTAAACCTGGGAGAACTTTATTTAATTTACATCTATACAAACTTTGTAGTTGAAAAGGTGTGAACTATTTAGTTTTCATAGTTCATTGAAAATTGATGAAAGACTTTTGGGAATCGAACAAAACCTTCTCCTTGTCAGGTGTTTAAAACAGACGTGGTAGAATCAAGTTGGTGGTCTTGTAAATACCGAGAAAAGGGTCGGGCAAACCGATGTTGTCACTTGTTTCTCTCCTTCTTTAAAGTTAACCAAATTTCAATTCTGGTTTTGCACAAACATATCTTAATTCCCCTAACTAGTTTTCTATTCTAATGTAAATATGTTAATATTTGCCAAGAATTAAATCAAATTCAACGTATATAGTTCGTGAAATAAATGTTTACTTTGTTTTAAGATTTGCCATTTAATTTTAGAACAGCCTCTTAACTTGTGTGCGTCTGGGACTTGAACAACTATTTTTTTTTGTTGTATTTTGGGGACTTTTGGTGCATTTATTAAAGTAAATTTTCTGGCAACCTTGTATAGGACAGAGGAGTAAAGCACATCATTACAGGGGCTGTGCGCACGAAATATTGATTATTCTCTTGTCCCAGTGTAGCCTCCAATGTTGGTCGTGGTCCAGTATTCGACCTGGTTATTTCAGATCCAGAACGCCCTTAAACGAGGGAAATATCAAAATAAATCGAATTTTTCCAGAATATCATCCCTTTTTAATTTACCCTTAGACTTAGAGCAGGCTCTTTAAGTGTAAGTAAAACTGGAATGTCACATCCCCCAACCTTTCCTGCCTCTCTTTGATGTTGTCTGTTGTTTGAAATTAAAATCCTATAACCTTTGTTTATGTGGCATATTGTAACACTCTTACACATACACACATACAGTCTTTTATCTTTTGTTTTGTAATCCAGGATGGCTTTGCATTTTTATTTTGTTTTTATCTGGTTTAATTGAGAGAGTGTCGAGCTGCTATTGGTACTTGCACAGTTTATTAATAAACAAATATACAAGTTTGTTTTCATTTTGTATTGGAATGTATTATATAGCACATAAACTGTTCAGAATTTTTTTTTTGATTTTCCTACGACCGTTTGCAAAGGAAATAATAAACATTTTTTCCGTCTCAGATTTCATAAGAATTTTTTGCACATGCATCAAATAAGCATGCTTAAAAATTCCGACGGATTGTTTTATCAGTAGGTTAAACGTATTCATATACCGGGTGGTGCAAATTTTGAACTGTCCAAATATTGGCTTGCCTGTTGATTTTATAGGGAAGTCGTTAATAAGTTGACATGCCAAATTTGAACAATTTTGGATAAACTGCATCTATTTATAAATTAAAACTGAACAGGTAGCAATACAAAATCAGATAAATGTCAACATATCTTAATTCCGCAACATATGATTTTGTCAATTTTTTTGTAATTTAAAACTTGTTACAAACAGGCAAAAGCTTAACATTTAGGAAATACAATTTAACATTTACAAAATCATAGGGTGCCAACTTAAGGTATGTTGGCATTTGTCTGGTTTCGTATTGTTAAATGTTCAGTTTTAATTTAAAAATAGATGCAGTTTTTCTTAAATTGCTTAAAATTGGCTTGTACAAAATTGTTCAAAGTTCGCATGTGTATTCAGCATACGCAGACCTTTAAACACCAATATCGTACGAAACAAATTGCTATAAGGCCCGGTTTAGACGTTTTACTTTACATGTACACCAAAAGACGGACATTTTACTTCAACTGTATTAAGTTAAACTGTCATTAGAGAGTGACATGCAAAACGTAAGGTAACATGTTACGTATGGGCTGGGCTTAAGATTGTAATGAGAGAGCAACGATGACTGTCAACAATTTGCACTACAAGTAGGTTTCACCCTGTATAAAAGTCCAGAATGTTTTTATTCGCTGGTGAAAAAAATATATAAAATTCCTTTTCGCGTATTGTTAAGATTATAAATTGAGAATCCGAAGTAGTTTGTATAAAAGTGATTGCATTACAAAAGACCTATTTTTAGCTATTGGGCGTCAGTTTTTCTGTCAAAGACAGTTTATAAATCCGTGGATTTGATAAATATACCAATATAAAGTCGATATGTCTTGTTTCAGAACAATCAACGAAACAATAACGGCTTCAGCTTCAAAGATGCGGATGCCGAAATTGAAGGTAGTGGGAACGACGGTGAGATCAAAGGCGACCTAGACGAATCTAGTGGCTCTGGACAGGGACCCACCGATGATGAGGATGTTCTTGACCGAGATATCAGTGAGTAAAAAATCGGAAAACATCCTGAAGACTAAAATCTACTTTAATGGTTTTAAATAATTTTTTATAGATATTCCGAATAATCCAGAGCCTAATATACCGAATAAGATAGTGCCAGTGGTGTACGGGGTAGACACATCTGGAAACAACAACAAAGAACCTATAAACGTGACTCCTACGGAAGACTCAGGCGTTATCATGAATCCAAAACCGGAAGATCGTCCCACATCTTTCTTCTCACAACCTGGAATTTTAGCGGGTATGTTTTACCTGTTTACCTCGTCAATAAATTTCAAAATACTATACAGGACCTCAGAGAAAAAATATAAATAGACAAGTCTTACCGTATAAAACGAATGTACCAAAGATCTACATACACACCGGATATAAATAGAAATATGTTAGATTGCCTTTGATTATTATTTTTCTTGCTAATTTGTTTCCCAAACGCTTTTGGCTTGATATGGACACTGAATTTATTTTTCCTCTTTTTCTGATTTTATGAAGATCCTGAAACTACACCAGTGAAGTTGTTGAATATAAAAAAGGATTATATTAAGTTTGTAATCAAATCAAATAGTTTGTTTACATATTGTTTGCATGTGTTAGGTCAAAACAAATCAATCTATATATTATTTTATAGAGATATCTATGTCTCTTACTTACTTTGCTTTTAACAAATGATTCTCAGTTATACCTAATGTCAATGTCAAACCAATTTAAATAAAAAATAAATAGTCCTGTTTTGGCATATGTCAAAATAAATTTAAATCTAATACATTTTTTTAAATATTTTAAATTATCTATATCAATCTAGAGTTGTCATTTTTATATCGTTTGTATAATCGAAGTTATTTCAACGATTACAACTGTTTTATCATTTTTAATGAAGTGTGGAAGTACCTACTTATATATGCAGTACATATTTTTTTATATTATCAACAAAAATCAATATATTCTGAGTACATTAGCGAAATCATTTGCTCATATATATTTAAATTAGTGTTTTGTAATTATTTAATTATATTTACAATAATAAAATGGGAAGTTACTCATAATGAGTCAATGGCATATCTCAGAATTATTGTGTATGATAAATAGTAAATATAAAAATGTAAGGTCTTTTACCAAGCAATTTAATATTTCTCTAGACAAAATTCTTTCTATTAAAACGAGTCTACACATTAATGTATTTTGTTTAGATATGCATATTTTAGTAATTAAAAACCGTTGAATAAATAGCCTATGTTGTTCGTTAATGTATTCGAAATACTTGTCTATTTTTCATTTTGTTTATTTTAAATTAGCATATACAGAATGATGTTAAATAGCGTTTATTGTTTTAGCAGTACTATTCATTCATATAAAAATTTTATCTCTGGGTTATTATAATTTTTTAATTACGCCTAGTAACTGCTACTGAGTAATAACCCTTAATTGCCCCTTTCTTGAGTAACAACATACAGTCTCAGGGCTTTGAAAAAAGCCAGTATCTGAGACGGCTTCACAGAGGCTAGTTCTCCATCTTCTAACATTTTTTTTTATACCGCAAGATCGAAAAAAAAACGGCGTCAGCGATGGCTATGAAATGAAGATCGCTGTCATTGTATAAGTAAACTAGCGTGTACCAGCGACTTCGTTCGCGTCGAATTAATCATTTGTAATGCTGATGATAAAGCAAAGCAAGAATTTCCATACAATACAAACTGGATAAAATTTTCTCATATTTATGTCAGCATGAGAAAAAACAATATGGCGATATTATTATATAACTTGGTAATATTGGAGGGGTAGTTTCATCTCGTTGGAATTTGACTTTCGAAAAATCCGTTTGCCACAAATAAGCTTTTTACGTCAAGCAGTTTAAGTAGAATCGTGGTTAAGAAATTACCCAACTTTTTGAAACACCCTGTATGATTTTTTAAAAAATTTCAAAATAACTAAAAAAAAACAAATAAATTATGCTTGTCCAAGCGTTTTTCCGAAAGACTAACCGTTTTTTAAATAACAAATATTGTAATATTTGAGGGGCGTTTTCACCCTCTTGGAATTTGATCGTACCTCTACACCCCACAGTCAATCCGTTTACCAAAAATCAGCTTTAAACGTCAAGCAGTTTAAGCAGAATCGTGATTACTCAATGGTCATATTTTTTGAAACACCCTGTATAAATTTTTAAAAATCTTAAAATATGTAAAACAACAAAATAAATATACGCGTTAAGAGTTTTTCCGAAAAACTCACCGGTTTTTAAATAAAAAATATTTTAATATTTGAGGGATAGTTTCACCCCCTTAGAATTCGAGTTTCGAAAAATCCCTTCTTATCGAACCTCTACACCCTAAAGTCAATCTGTTTTCCAAAAACCAGCTTTTTACGTCAAGCGCTTTAAGCAGGATTGTGATTAATCAATGACCAGATTTTTCGAAACACCCCTTATACATTTTTAAAAAACTTAAAATATGTAAAAAAACAAAATAAAATATACGTTTTTAAGCGTTTTTTCGGAAACTTGACCGTTTTTTAAATAAAAAATATTGTAATATTTGAGGGGTGGTTTCACTCTCTTGGAACTGGAATTTCGAAAAATCCCTTCTTATCGAACCTCTACACCCTAGAGTCAACATGTATGCCAAAATTGAGCTTCTTACGTTGAGTGGTTTGAGCAGGATCGTGATTAATCAGTATGTCAGTCACTTCAAGGATTTTATATATTAGTATAGATTTATATAGGAAATGTCATCGATCGTCATTTCCCAGCCAACTGGACGCCGTTTTTTTTCGATTCTACGGTATCTTAGGAAATACTTTGTTTAACTGTGATGTTTTATTGTTTCAGCTGTGATCGGAGGAGCAGTTGTAGGTCTTCTGTGTGCAATTCTCGTTGTGATGTTCATCGTTTACCGAATGCGTAAAAAAGATGAAGGCTCATACACAGTGGGCGAACCAAAGCAATCGCCTAACTCCACCTCGTATAGCAGGGGAACGAACAAGGAATTCTACGCTTGAAATTAGTGTTGTAAAAAATAGAGAGACGGTGTTTTAATCAGGACGAATCATATTTGACTGCTGGCGATTTTAATCTGGATACATTTTAAGGACTGAATCTTTTCTTCTTGGCTTCGACGCTTTATTTTGTATAGTTTTCGGAAATTACCAATTAATTGTAATAATAAGATTAATAAAACTAACCAGGACGCACACTTAATGCATAGTTAAATTCGAATAACCCTGACATTGTCGAACTATGCAATAGAATTAAAGTAATAACTCGGATTTAGAACTTTTAATACAATGAAGGAAAGCATATTCGGTCTCTATCAGTTGCATTTGCCAAAAAACTGCCAACAGTATGAGTGAAAAAAAATTGTGTTGTACTAAGTACAAAAAAAATATGGAAAAATTTTGAATTCGAATTTGTCTAAAAAACTAAATTAGCATTCAATATTATATACTTTAAATGTATGTATATATAATAATGTAGCGGAAAAACATCTAAATGTTCTGTCTAACGTCCATATTATTTCGGAGTGTACAGCACAGGATTTAAAATATATTTTTTTTGTATTCTTTCTAGCATGATATTAATTAAACGGAAGCCTGTATTGTGCACTTCCACTTTACTTAAAGGTACCTAGAAACTAATGGTTAATGTTAAAAATAAGTAAAATTAGAATATAGCGGTTAAAATACTACGGCTATATGCGCAGAATTTTGCCTTTGCTCATTTTTTACGCAGCTATACATTCCTCTTAATTGTATTTCGTTCTCCTTTTATACATCCTTTGGTAATTTTCTTTGTTTTTATGAAGTAGTGGGTCTGGTAATCTTCTGCTTTACATAGGTAATTTATATACATAAAGAAAATAGAGAGGAAGCAAATGTTCTATGATAGTCACACTTTGAAGCCAATTTGTCTTTAATACAACAGTAAAGCTATTTTTTCTTCAAAACAAATTTATAACGAACTTTCAAATATAAATAAAATAAATAGGTTATTAATAATAATAATACAATATTAAATTTTTCTATTATAGTACCTACCCATCTTGTGCATGTTATAAGTTTGTCTTGATGGTGTTTGATAATAAAGTGTGAAATGTGACTATAAACAGGCAGCTTATGTGTAAATCTATCCTACTTCAATGTAATTTGCCATAAAAATCAAAAACGTTAGTTTTAATACTTTTATTTATTGGATATTATTTTAGTTTTAATATATGACTATAGTATAAACGAGCACAAACAAGTTGGCTTCAACGGCGTAATTTTAACTAAAAAAATATATATTTTATAGACGTTATTTAATTTAATGTATCAACAAGTTGTTTATTTATTTAACCCATTATTTTTATTTTATCATTAATAATAAATAAAATTGTATCAATATAATAATACTACTTACTACAATAACATTTTTTATTAAACCAATAGGTAGCTATTCAAAAAATCGAAGTGTATAGTATTAGAATAATGTTGTACAATCTGGTTGTAAATAAAATTGAAACATAAAAACATAAATTGGTGTTTTTTATCGTGTCTATCCAAGATTAACGAGATTTTATCCAGAACAAGACAGTTTTGAAAAACTCAAACCGCATGATTCTATTATGTAATAGTAATCTAAATAATGAACCAATTTCACAAAGGTGTTATTAAGTACTTTTATAGGTACCGGGTTCTAATTCTTTCAAAAACAAAAAATAGCCATTGAAGGTGTTTCTGTTTTCTATTCTGAATCTACATAAAATTTCCTACAAATACTAAAATTTTCATAATTTTATTGCTGTGATTATTATCTTTCTAAGACCTTTGAAAATGTTTAAAAAATAACCAAAAATGGTCGTTTTTTCGACTTTTATCCATACGTCGTGAAAATTGTCGATTTTTTTCGTCACCGATTTTGTTAAAACTGCTCTTATTTACAAATTAAAAGTCGTAAAATAAGAATACATACGCCATTGTAGTCTTACGAGAACAGTAATTGACGTAAGCGACGTTTTAACTATCATCAAAAATAGCTCAAAACAACGGCCCAAAAAATAATTTTCCCACAAAACCAAGATACATAACCCTTTAAAGGTAGTCTTACGACTTACGACAACAGTAATGGATGTAGGCGACATTTTACATTTTACATCATCAAAAAGAGCTCAAAACAAGGGTCCAAAAAATTAATTTTCTCATAAAATTGGCGAATGCGCCGGGCCATTCCAATTTTACAGCGGAGCGGCAAAGCAACTTCCATTCGTTTACTTATAAGGGAATTTCGTATTTCGCAATCAAATAGAGATGATTTTAATTTCATTAGATTTTTTTTCAATCCCTTAATTTCATCCCCTAAAGGTGAGAAGTCAGTACAAACGTTTCTTAAAATTGGTTCTGGGAGTTTGGTTTGGTGCATAATGGTACAAAAGGTTCGATAAGTGACATAAAGTGAGTATTGAAAAGCGATTAATGTAAATTGATTTCCTAAAGAGGTGAAATTAGTGGTGGAAATTTGTATAAAAATTTGTAAAAATCTCATTCTATGAATATAAAATTATATTAATAATAATTTAAAAAAGTTTCTTAAGCAACGCAATGACTATGATGAAGAGATTTTTGAAAATGAATCCCCGAGGAGGGTAAAATTAGGGTAAACGATTATAAACTAAATAAAAATTAAAAACCTGTTCTAAATCATGAAACATTACACAAAGGTACCTCTAGCGATTCAATAAAAAAAATTAAAATCTATCCCCTGAAATAAGGGGAAAAAGAGGTAAAATAAGGGAAAGAATGTTTTCAAATATTCGTTAATATTTGGTATAGAATTATGACATTTTTTTACATAAATATTCCTTAAGTGGTATAATTGAAAAGCGTTTTCTGAAAACTCATTTTCTAAGGGGTAAATTAGGGGCAAAGATCTATGAAGATTCGTTACTATCAGGTTTAGAAAGAAGTATTAAAATTTGACCAAACGTGCTTAAGTGAAATAACTGAGCAGGAAGAAGCGATTTTTGAAAGTCTATCCTAGTCCTTACCAGTCTTTATTGCCCAGTCTTTATTGCCAGTCCTTACTACCTGGTCTAGAAATATATTTTTTTACAAAAATTTTTTAAGTGAAGTAATAGAGCACTAAGAAGTAATTTTTGGAAATTCATTCCCTAAAAGCATCTATTTTTATTAAATAATTTTTTTGAAAAATTTGAAATAAGTTAGTTTGTGTAAAAATATATGAAAAGATTAAATCCAAGCTGTGAACGTTTATGAACCTATGATTGAAAATCTACAAAAGAACCCTGTTTACGAGAAATCCTAGTACGAATGATGTCTATAAGATGGAACTGTTTGTGCGAGAGCCGCAATATTTTCAAAACGATAATCACTTTGTTTACAAAATAAAATACCAACTTATTCCATTTACTAAATATGTCGATATTTTTTGTCTAGCCAAATCAAGGTTAATTAAATGCACTGATTTGTCTGCAGCTAAAAATCCGACCGCTGCTGCAATTGTCTGAATGTTCAACTTTGAACCTATTACAATAGATGCTTAAAAGAAAAGAACTTTTAAACTTAAATTAGTGGCGAGACACAAAAAAAGATCGACGTCTATAGAACTTTAAAACGAATAATAAGTACTTGAATAAAATTCTCTAAGCGATATTTAAAGTGAAACGATGCGTGAGAAAAAAATCTCTTCTCAGACAGGTGTCTTAATTTTATTTAAAAAATAGTGTTAGATACACGAGTACATACAAGATAAAATTTTAGAATTAAAAAGGTTGTTGGTCTGGCATAAAAACCAGATAGCACCCAGCAAGTCGAAGAAAATGAAATTAAATTAGGACTACAAAAAATCGAAATAGTTAAGACTCATGATGGAGGAGCTGAAGATTACGTTCAGTAATAAACAAAGGAAGCAACTAACATTTTGGGTAAGGCTTTGACCGCAGGGTAAATACAGGGTGGTTCAAAACAAATGCGCAAAAAATAAGGGGTGATTTCTTGAGAACAAGCAACAATTTTTTACGTCAAGTTAGATTCTTCTTGTAGAATGTATAATGAGGCTGAAGGGGGGTTAATCTTAGCGACCTTAAAGATCTATTGTGTCCCCTTTTCTTATATAAGTTATAACTCATTATACGTGGGCATCTTCCTGTTGTAGGGGGGACAGGGTATTTTCCTGACAATAGCTGTTCATTCTCCGAGGAGTGGACATCTACCCCCTACGAGAGTATACAACCTTCCACGGTTGGGGTTTAGGTCTCCGTACTCTTCACATTCGAGGTGCTTGGCTCCGGCTGAGGTACCCGTGGTGGAGGCTGGAGGATCTGTCTCCATTTTCTCCACCTCTTTAACTTGGTCTCTCTTAGACCTAATACCGGTGCTGTTCCGGATCTATAATAGAGAATATATCTCTTTCTCTATTGCCTCCTTGGATTGAGGTCAATTCCTATTGTGAGGACCTGACCATGGCCCCCCTCCCTCGAGTTGATAATTCGCCAACTCGATGTGCTTACATTGGAGTTATGGCAAAGGTGGTGATACACCGCAAGGGTAAAAGGGTTAGTCAGTCCACCCAGCTAAAGTGCCAGAGGGGATTCCCCCTAGCAACTGACTATAGGACCTATCCCACCAACGACAAGGTCTGGCGTCTCCTAAAGGAAGAAGATTCTTCATACTATTAGTTAACAAAAAATATAAGGGTGGTTGTCTCTTTCAACACCTTTCAATAATTAAGTTGATTTCAAGATATAAAAAAAAATTAAAAAAAATATTGGCTATTTATATACCAAAAAGTACACTTTAATTTTAACAAGGTATGATCCTTAAATGTTTTTGCATTTGTTTTGAAACACCCTGTAAAAAGATCTTAGGGAATTTTTGCAATCCTCGCTAGAGCAACCAGAGAGAAAGAGAGAGACAAAAACACTTTTTAAGTTACATCATGCCCGGGTTCAGGTAAATGTTATGCGGCCTTGAATTTCGCGACAAAAAATTCTCACAAGATTTTGTTAGATACCGGGATGGGCTAGTGAGACAGTTTTAACGTTAGATGGTGCGAAAACTGTATGGGGGCCATCAGCACTATCGTACCCTTGGTACTTTTAGGGCGAAACAAGATAAAAGTATATTTTTGGGGCCTGTTGATACGTCAAATATTTGTGTTGGCCGCGGTCTCCCTATTGGGCTTATGATAATTTTTAAATGTACAGGGGGATCATATCAGTAGATTAAAAAACTAAATGAACACTTTACTATGAACGATTCTACCCTGTTCAAATTAAAGTGTTTTTAATATCTCTATAAAAATGGTAAGCACTGAGCATTTGCATTTGTTTCCCTACGAATTTAATATAAAATAAATAGTTTTAAACTTCACGCACCTTGTAAAAGTGGGTTGAAGTTTTAAGGAATTGAACCTTATTTTCTATATAAAATCATTATCAAGTTGAAGAATATATTAATTCAAGTAGGTACCCGCCTAATTTTTCAATGGGCTGGCTACCTCACTTTAAATTATTGAAAAATTAAGCCTGATAAAAAGTAATAGGGCAATTTATTTACGAGTTACAAAGACTTACATTTATATTTACTCACTGCCAAAATTTAAGAAAATATTTGAATAGAATTTATTCCAGAATATATGATAATTAACTATATGCATCCTTTTTGACTTTTTCAACTTTAGAATGCTGAAATCAGGGCTACTTTCGTTTAGTTGAAATCAGTTATGTTTAGTGTGTTTAGTGCGCGTTTTAGCTTAGAGCATGTTTTGATTGCTTTGGTTTGGTTTGTTGGTTCGCTTTTGTTTATTTTCGTTTTTTTCTCAATACCATATTGATGTCTAAATCACACTATCTTCTAGGTTAAATTCGTACCTACATAAGAAAAGTGTTTAAAATGATTTCAGTTATTCTGAAATCGGAAAAAAGAGAATGATGCATTTCCTTAGGAAAATTTTTATGATTTTGTATTTGAGGAGGCCTATATACTAGAATGTTATTTCTTTTATAAGTGATTTCAGCTAAAAAAAAGTTCACTCAGGTTAGCTTAAGTTTGAACAATATTATAGAATTTGTATGATAATTGGATTATGTAAGATATAATTGTAAGTAAAGTTATTAGTTGACCGCCCTGTATATTCTCAAGCGAGTTAGGCAGGAAACCATGCTTGCTGTCTCAGAAATTATAGTTGCTCGAATATATCGAATGAGAGTGGTAGATTTATGAAATCGCTCTCCAAAAATTTTGCCGGGAAGTATACATGAATAAAAAAACAATCTTAGAAACGAAACTTGAATTATAAACAATTATATTCCGAAAATTTATAACTTGTTTAGTGCTGTGAATAACAGTGAAGAGACCCATTCAGACATTTTGCATAACGAATCTGAATCATGTAGATTTTTTG